TTTGATGGTCAGTGAAGGGTAATGGAGCATTCCTGAAATTATGTTTCTGCGAATGCTTCAGTTTTGCAAGATGTTAATAAATGTTCCAGGGGGAAAAAACAGAGTCTGTGAACAAGATGGCATCACAGACAGTCAACAAAACAAAAACAGCCCCACTTTCTAGGCTGTGGGACTTCCTGCAATCTGTAACAGACTAAAAGCTATTTAGGAATCTCCAGGAGGAGGAGGAAGCGCATAGAATTCCCACTATCTTATGATCATGCAATTTTTTTTTTGTTGTTGTTCAAGGTAAGCTTTTCCCTTCCCCTTCCCCTACCCCCATGCCAATACCAGGTTGTAAGTCATGGTCTGGGGGCTGTCTTTTAGCTTTTATCCCTCATTGTTGGCACTCGACTTCTTGAGTAACACTTCTTGGAAATATTTAGGGCTTTTTATCTGATTAATTGGAGACAGAAATCTTCCAGACCTTCTTGCCTGAGCTGGCTTCAAACTGCGATCTTCAGATCGCAGCCTCCTGACTAGCTATGATTACAGGCATGAGCCACAGGCACCTGGCTATCCAAGATAATCTTTTTTTTTTTTTCCTGGGCTGAGGACTGAACCCAGGGCCTTGCACGTGCCGGGCGGGCGCCCTTCCACTGGGCTAAACCCCCAGCCCCTATCCAAGATAATCTTGATGGTCTTGGTGAGCCAGCATGGAAGTGCAGAGTGGTTTGTACTATCCTTACATTACTCCTACAAAACCCTTAACCAACATGGCAGTAGAATCACAAGGCAATTGAGCTATTTGGGTAATGCTCTAGCAACACGAATCTGACAACAAAAATGTATTACTTATCAATACGTGTATCTATGAAGAAGCAGTATTCTCTGGATGTCTGACCCTGGAGCCTTGGTTTTGGTCAGATCCCTCTTACACCATTAATTTACATGTGATAAATCTGAGCTGCAGTCCAGTGATCTTAGACATGAATCCACTCATTTGACCAACAAATATTTAGTAAGCACATTGTCAATTCAGACTTATAAATACAAAGCACATATTTAAGAGAGGAAGAGCGTAAACAGAAAAGAAATAAAAGGAATTATAGACTAAAATACTACAATGCAAGTTGTAAAAAGAAAAACCCAGTAAAACAAAGAGGAGAGGGATGTTATAACAAATAATAATCGTTTCCAAAAGGCGCAAACTTCTGATTGGGTAGCCCTGGGAGTGCGTGCTGAGGAGCTGACATTGGAGCTGAAAATGGAAGATAGGATAGGGCTTGGAGAGTAGTGAAGGGGAAGGGTATGTTCAAAAGGAGACAAGGCAAGGAGAAGGGAATTGTTAGGCCTTCTTTGAGAAGGCAAAGAAGGGAATTGGTAGTTGTGTTCTTGCAACACGAGGAATGCCAGTCTGGCTGAAGCACAGGCAATGCAGACTGAGTGATTTCCAGGAAGATGGTGAGAGGCAGATCTGGAAACTTCCAGGTCTGCAACTGTGAGGTAGAGTACAGGGAGAATGTATTTTGAATGGATCAAAGAGATTCAAATGAGCTTCTTCATATCTTCTTTATTCCAGACCCCTTTCTAATTTGGAAATTAATATAATTTCACAATTTTCATCTCCAGTCATAACATCTATCAACTAGTAGATGATCATTAATAATCTCACATTGAAATTCTGTTCCAATAGAATGAAACTAATTCCAAAGGAAACCTTAAGTATTCTGCAAAAAAGAAGCAAAACAAAAATAACTAATAATTAGCATTATTTATCAGGATGAAATATAAGAAAACACCCAAATATCTACCCACAGTGGAGACCTGTTTAAGAAAATTATGATATATTGGATGGACGCTTTTGAAAAATTCAGTGGCATAAAAATGTTTACCATGTAATACTGCAAAATAACGAATGACGTTAGATTAGCAGGGATGTAGAGGTTACTAACTTGGAGTATAATTATGGTGTGTGAGTTTAGGGAGTAATGAGGAAGAAATTCTTGGTGAGTCTTGTGGGACTAAAATTAGATAGGTAAGGCCCAATGAAATTATGAGTGACCTTCAATGTTCAACCAACAAAGTGCATAAGAGAGCATTTACTTACTTCCTGACACAGGCTATCTGAACGTTTCAGTAATCAGATACTTAGTGCAACCTTGTCATGGAAGAATAGAAAATAGGCTCAGAGAAAGCCAATGACTTTTCCAAAGCCATGCAAATTGAAACTGTTTGGGTGGTGATTAGAACTCAGCTCTTTCTGACTTCAGGGCAACTCATTGTTGACCCAGTGAGTTTCAGTAAAGAACTCCTTCATTTCCTTTTGCCTCAATATGTGGCCTAACTTAATACTATGTTTTTGCTTTTTCACAGAATTCAGAATTTTACAAGATTAAGACTTATGCATCCTCTCAACGAATAGCATCTCCCACATGGTAGGCACTGATTTAGGCCTGGAAATGCAAAGGTCATTCAACCAATCAGGTAAGCTTACCTTTAAAGAACTCTGTCCAGCTATAGGAAACAAATTATTACTGAAAAAAAAAACAATTTATTCATACAAAAAAGGAAACCAATACTTAACACATGTAAAAATTATACCTGAAAGCATTCAAGGTGAATTGTGAGTGTAACTGTCAACAATGCCTTCACAGAAATGTCTTATTTAAATGCATGGAAGGAGAGAGAGAATTTCACTAGAGCAGAAGGCAGTGGGTAAGTTAAAGAGTTTGGGACTCAGACTAGTGGGTATTCCCCTGGTTCCTACTTTCTAGAGGATTCCATTGGGTAGATGAAGGCAGCTCTTTCTGAAGCCATGAGACCATTCGTAAAATAGGAATTAGTATTGTGCTTGCCTCATAGGTCTGTTTGGAAGATCAAATAAAATAAGATGTATATATGATTTAGCTTGCTGCCTGGACCATTAAGTATGTATAAATGTCAAGAAAATTATGCAAAAGAGCCGGTTAAGAATATTTCAGGTAGAGAAAAATGGAACCATGTAGGAGCTTGGAGTTCAGAGCACATAGATTTAGAAAAAAAATAGAAGAGATTAGAACTCTACATGGCCTTGAAGATCATGTTTGTAAGCCTGTGCATTCCATCATTGTTTCTATTTTCTTTTTGATGGGGGTTAAATAAAACTGATGGTTGAACTCAGGTCTTCACATTTATGAGACAGATACCCTACTCCCGAGGTATACCTTCAGCCTTTTCTTGCAATGGTTATTTTGAGAAAGGCCTGTTTTTGTTTTCGCCATGCACGGATCATGATTCTTCTACTTTTTATCATAGCTGACATAAGAGGTGCACACTGCTATTCCAGTTTCCTCCCCTGTGAGGGACTCTTCTGCTCTTTCTTGACCAGGCTGATCTTTTTGTTGTTGTTGTTGAAATAAATATGTTGAAGAATTCTTTTTTTATTGTGAAAATATTGTACAGAGGGGTTACAATTACATGGGCAAGATAATGAGTACATTTCTTATCAAGCATTGTAGCCTCCTCCTTTGTTTTCCCTTCCCATCCCTTCCCATCCTCAAAAGACTCCACATAGAGCTCCCCTATGACCCAGCAATCCCACTTTTGGGCATTTACCCAAATGTTTACAAACAAGACCACACTAAAGCTACCAGCATGACTATGTTTATTGCAGCATTATTTACTATAGCTAAGATATGGACCCAACCCAGATGCCCCTCAGTAGATGAATGGATTAAGAAAATGTGGTTTATATACACAATGGAATTCTATGCCTCCATCAGAAAGAATGACATTGCCCCATTTGTTAGGAAATGAAAGACATGGAAAAAAATTATATTAAGTGAAGTAATCCAGGTCCAAAGAAACATAGGTCCCATGGTTTCCCTTATTTGCAATATCTAGTATATGTCTGAGTCAAGCAGAAAAGGTCAGATAAGGTGATGTTAGGGAAATGAACCCTAAGACCAGGCTGATCTTGATTTAGGATCCTGTCAGCCTCCTGCATTTCTGAGAGGACAGGTGCACGTCACCACAGAGGGAATTTCCTGAATGTTTTGCCTAGCCTGGCTTTGAACTATGACCCTCCCAATGTCACCTTCCCTAGTAGCTAGGATTACAGGGATGAGACACCATAAGGCTGAACACTTGTGAAAGCATAAAAAACCCACTACCTGTTTGTCAAAAGCAAACAGAAGCATGCTACTGGAAATGGAGGAATGAGAAGCCCCAAAGCAATCAGCAATCAGCTGGAGACTATAGAGTGGACTTTAAAAGAAGGAAAAGTTTGGAAATCAGGCAATGACATGTGGGTCCCTTCCATATTCAAAGTCACAGGGGTGGAGATGGGAGGAAAAGATAATGATGATGGTGGTGGTGGTGTTAATGTAAGGAGAGAGGAATGAAGAGAAAGAGCAGGAGGAAGAGATCTGCTTTTTATTACATTCTGGGCATTGTGATAAGATACTGGAACAACTCTGTGAGACAGGAGAGTCTTAGGAAAGTTTATGCCATGGCCTAGCTAATAGAGATACTTAGCAGCAAAATAGAAATCTGAATGCAGTTCGATCTAATTTACCATCCTTTTGACCGTGTTGACTCTATTCTTCAAGTTCCTAAAGAGTGACATTCAACCTCTCCCTGTTCCTGACAGTCCCGTAATTGCATCTTACCAGAAGGGTCTCATGCTTTCCAGGAATGGTTTGTACTCCTTATACTCTCCAGAAGGACACCAACCACAGCTGAAAAAGTGCCTCCTGTCTGCAGCTGGTGAGGCTGGAAGCTTTCTTTATTTTCCTTCTAACCATCTCAATCATGTTAAAATTTGGAGGATCCGTTCTCATCCTTCACTGTGCCTACGAAGAGGCGTGACTAGGTTAACGCTCCACACAGGGGCACAGGTATGTTATCTCCAAGAGACACAAGAGGGAGAAAGTGCCACAAAGTTCTGTGATCAAGGAAGGCACGGAGAAGGCTTTCCAGTATCTCTGGGACAGTGGGACAGCCTGCTGTCTTCTGGAAGATGTGCCAAGAGATCCTACCTCGAGACTTGCTCCTCCGCTTCCGCTTCCCTGCAGACACGCTGCGTGGGGCTGGCTGCAGCTGGCCGATCTCGATGGGAGTGTTAGCGCGGAAACTCTCCTTGAACTTCTGCATCAGGGACTCCACGGTCTCCTGCGTCGCCTCAGCTGCTGCTACAGGGTGGCAATGGGGCTGAGGTTAGGACTTGGCCTACCCTCAGCCCCTGCAAGTCTGGCCTTGGCTCCCTAGAGTCTCTGGAATGTTCTCTCTGGCCCACTGGAGATACAGAACCACAAGCTTTGAGGCTAAGCACAGATGGAAAGTTAGCTTTATTCAGTATCTACTGTGTTACAAGCACTTCCTTAGGGGCTTGAGAGAGGATGATGAAAAGAAATTGGACACAGTCTGTATTTTAAGCAATTGATAACCAGGAAATTTTACAACATGTCTGTGATGGGGTAGTACAGTATCCTAGAGGAATATGAGGATTGCTCATCTTGCCCATCTAGAAAGTCAAAGCTGGCTTCCTGGAGGAAACAATACCTAAATGGTGGAGATCTTATACGTGAGGGGAAAAGAGCAAAACAAGGCCATCCAGGGTGGTGGGGTGGGAGAGACTTGGAAAGAGCATCGCCTTGGCAGGAGAAGCACACATGATCATCTGAAACAAGAAGGACCATAGTTCTCCAGCAGCAGAAAGGAGGAGAGTCCAATGAGACTGCAGTGGAGCTTGCAAAGTGCAATCGTAAGACATGAAGCTGGAGGAATATGGATCTCATATAAACTCCGTTGAGGAATGTGGATTTTATCCTGATAGTAAAGTCTTATCATTAAAAGGATTTAAAGAGAAAACTGTTATGTTCAAATGAAGTTACTTCATAAGCAATTATTCATTAAAGTGAGGAGGGTAAGAGTAGAGGCAGGGATGGAGGTCAGAACAAAGGTTTGTATAGACGCCGGGTAGAAGAAAGATGTCCTGAAGCAGAACATAGGTAGGGAAAGCCATTTAATGTCTCAGTGCTCATAACTACAAACTCTGGGTGCAGAGATCACTGATCTAATTTACCAAGGCTTCCAAACAAGCCACTGGACTTTCTCAGCTAGGAAGCGACAGTGACAGATTTCTAGGCTCTTGTCCAGTGATACATGTACAGTAATACCCTCCAATGCTTTTAACCAAGTTTCCAAATGAAGACTGGTAGAAAGTTTCAGTAGTTGGGGAACGTGAGGTCAGGAAGGCAGAGAGAGAGAGAGAAAAAAAAGGCAGAAGATAAAAGAAAAGGAAAATAAAAAGCAAAGCTTGAGAAGGAAGGAGAGAAGGCAACATAAAAGACAAGGAAGGAAAGCCAAAAGGAAGGAAAAGCGAAATTTTGAAATAGCCTCCGTGCCTTTGTTCTGAGAAATTCTTAAAGAGAACCCTGGCTTTGAAATCTTCAAACTCAGCCCTCCCTCCACCTAGGTCTCTGGAGACATAGCTACCTACTATGTAATGCCAGGGGATGGCATGCACCAAAGACTCCTCATTCCTATTTTGAAAGACTTTCACCAGATTGGACAAAGAGGTATCCTGCCTACTGCAATCCCCACTTCCAAGATGCTCTGGTTTTCCCAGAAGTGCTTATCGATTTACACAGATGTGTCTTCAGGGTGAGTCACACCCAAAGGGCTGATTTGGAAATGAGGTTCTGTGGGGAGCCCCATCTTCAGGGACATAAGGGAATCTTTGATTGTTAAGAAAAAGACAGCTGATGATGCAAATGAACCACGGGGTGGCATTACAGATTCCACACTCATCTCTCCTGCTGTCTTCTCCTCAGTTACCTTAATTAGGGCTGCTTGAAGATGATGATCCAAGGAGCCTCCAAACACAGACTCCTTGCTCTAGCCTGTGAGAGATACTGCTCTGGCAAAACACCACTACAACACTCTTAAAAGCCATGTCATGCCCACGTCGATTCATCAACCTACAGAAAAGTGTCATTTGACAAGAATCATAAAAGAAGAGCTGCCCGGTGGTCAAAAGTCCAGAACAAGCACTGTTCTGAAGTCTTTGGAGGGAGAGACTCCTCTCGTCTGCCAATGTTCACTCATTCATTCATCTCCCCTGTTGTTCAACAGTGTTTTTAGAAAAACTCCCATGTAGCCAGGCATGATGGTGTGCCCATTTGATGAGCTGAAGCAGAGCAATTAATTGACCAATACAACTGGAGGTCAGCCCGGGCTACATAGTAAGCTCTATCAAAAAGAAGAAAGGAAAGCAGGGAGAGAAGGAGGAAGAAGAAAGAAAGGAAGGAAGGAAGTACCAAAGAAAGGGGAAAGGACAGGAAAACCATCATTTACTTGTGCTGAACACAAGGGCATATCATAGTCATGAAAATCATGAACTGATTGAACAACAAACATTTATTGTCTTATAGGTCCGAAGGCTGGAAGTCCAATAGGGCCAGGTTAGGGTGAGGGTTCTCTTCCTGTTTACACAAGCTCATCTCCTTCCTGTGCCCTCAAGTGTTGGGTAGTTTGTGTACATATACATATCTAAATACATCTGTGGAGAGAGAGGAGAGAGAAGGAGAGATCATTTCCTCTTTTAATACCCCAGTTTAGTCCTTAGAGCTGATTCCATGTCATTTATTCTTACTTGCTTATCTCCAAGTACTATCTACCATGGCCTGAATTGTGTGCACAAGTCAATTTTTGAAGTCCTTACTCTTCATGTTGTAATATGGCTTTTGGTAAGTAATTAAGTAATTAAATAAGGTCATAAGATTGTGGTTTTAATGTGACAGGATTAATAACAGGAAAGTAAGAGGGAATAGAGAGGGAAATGACAAAGGAGAAGAGGGATGAGAGATGGAGGGAGAGAGAGACTTTGTGCTTTCCATACATACCCATAAGGAAAGGCTGTATGAACACAAAGTTGGAAGACAGCATTAGCAGGGCAGACATGAGTAGGTGCAACCTACCCATGTCTGCCCTTTCCTCTTGGACTTCCAGCCTCAAAAGTATAAGAAAATCATTGTTGACGCTCCCCACTGAGCAGTAATTCGGTATAGTAGGCCATGTGAACTGAAACACACTGTCATGTTGGCAATCAAGGTTTCAACATATGCATTTGAGGAGGAGGACATACACACTCATCCCGTAACTGGGTATAATGGTAAGACATGTGTTCCCCTCGCTTCCACACAGAAGACATCTCCTGAATGAACTGAGAAGTGACTCGTAAGGATGATATGAAAGATTTGTTCAGTAGATTGATCAAGTGGTAGAAAGTAACTGAAGGTAGTGTCATGGAAGTGAGCAGTGGGCCTCAGGTATAAAGCATACATTTAGTCAGCTGGTGAGGGAGAGGTAGATTCTGGGGAGATGATGAAGAGAGAGGAAAATGGCAGAAAGAAGAATTTAAATGAAGACCTTTGAGGGAGAAGGAGTATGGAAAGGGCTACAGTTGGCCATGAAAATGAAGGATATGAAGTAATGCAAGAGAAGAAATAGGAAGCCTAACCCCACCTCTTACCTTTAGGCCTTGTTAAGGATTGGGCATGCTGAAAGGTATAGATAGCAGAGTGGTATGATTAGATTTTCACGTAAGGAAGATTGCTGTAGCAGAAGGAATCATTCAGGGGAGACACTCAGGAAGGAAAACGATGAATAGGAAAAATTGCAAAGATGTGATTGATGATGGTGGCCTGTACTGGAACAGCCATGGAGGAGAAAGGCAAAGAAGACAGTAAGGAAGAGAACAGAGACAGAAGCAATGAGGTCTATATAGAGATTGAGAAGTGGGCAAACATGAGAGCTGTTGTTAAAACCTCCCCAGAACGTGGTTACAGATGGAAAAAGGTAGATGAAGGAAGAGGGACCTGGAGGTAGTGAGCTTGACTCCTGGTCTCCTGTTTTTTTCACAGCTGCAGCATGAGGGGTCTTCAATGTGAGAAGAAGCACGTGATAGGGATGGTTGACTTGAGACATGAAAACTTGGTGGTCCCTTCATTAACTCACATTCCTTTATTTACTTACTCATCTGTCACTCAACTATGATGCTCATTCATTCACTCATAAAAGAGCGCTGTACACTGTGAAACCTGCCTGCCTTAGAAAAGGTAGGAAGAAGTCACAGTCATAGTTAAGAATCCCCTTCTGGTTGTAAGCAACAGAATATAAACACATTCACCATCTGTGTTAACTGCCCTGCCTTTGTAGCCTGAGGCTGCTCTTGCTCTGCCAGGTTTATCCCGTCCTGCTGTGTCTTGGAGTCCTGTCTTCGTGGGATGACTCACCTGTCTCTTTGCACTATGGTTCCCTAGGTAGACTTGGCCAGGGAGATACTCTGCCAGGATATGGGAGGGGAGAGTGGGGAAGCATTTCCTCCCTTTTGACTTGTCTGCTTTGTACCCTATTTCTGATAGTGATTGAGAGACTTGACTGTCGCATCTCTGGCACGAGCTCCTTTTCCAACATTTGATTGTCACAGGATCCAATAAAATCCTTTTCATATCGTGACCTGTTCACGCCTTGGAAGTGGTTACTTCGTGTTATTTCTGTTCTCTAGTACTTTCATATCATGGGTTCTCTTCACTCTGCATACACCTTCACCATGACTTCATTGCATTCCCTAAAATACCCACTTCAGGAGCTGTTTTTCTTTTCTTTTTCCAGCTGAGACCTTGACTTTGGCACTATCCACTGCCACTTTTTTTGTCTCTGACATTCATCACTTCTCAAAGGTCAGCTCTTCCTGTTATTTCTATTTCCTCTCTCCTCACCTGATCTAAGCTTGCTTGGCTGAAGGTAGAGGAAACACATGGAGAGGGAAGGTTTGCTCCCTTGTACTGCAAAGGTTTCTGATCCTGACTGTAGCAAATCCCCACCATCTGTTTGGTTGCTCTTGTCTTGGTGACAAGTGCCAAGAGCCCTGACAGGCTTAGTGGGGGCAGTGCTTCTGCAAACCTCTCTGTGGCTGATTTCATCCTGTGTATCATATTCTCTCTCTCTCTCTCTCCCTCTCTCTCTCTCTTTCCCCCCTCTCTCTCTTTTCCTCTCTCTCTGTCTCTCTCTCTCTCTCCCTCCCTCCCTCCCTCCCTCCCACTCTCAGCTCCACTCAGTAACTCTATAGATATAATCTATCAAGCTGTCCAAATAAGCTACATTGCCTCCTGGTACCCTCTAAACT